ATAATAATGAACAAAGTGAGTTAAAATACAAGACAAATATTAAATCAGATAATAAAGATGTTAAAAAAGCCTTGAAATAGTAAAACTCAAATCTATTACAAAACACCTTATTATTATACTTAGAACTCACATGTCTTTCCAGTACAAAAGGCAGGATTAACCAAAAGTATATTAAATGCCTCATAATTTAATAAGTATACAGAATAAAATTCATACATATTTAACACCAATTCTAATATTTGCAACTTATCTTTCTAAAAGGAAGATCTTTTAAGCATCTCTAGGACAGACAAGGAGGAAAAAAGGCAAAAGAAAATCATTTCCTCATCAGAAATCAACATTTTTAGGAAGGCTTTACAGTCATTTGTATATGCAAATAATCAGACAAATAAATAAACACATATTATTAATGTGATATCCTAAACCTAGTGTTACTCATAATATTAAGGCAACTCTGAAGCTCTGTCACTTGTAAAAAAAGCAAAACAGCTTAATATCATTTTCAACACATCTGAAATAAATTGGTAATTTATTATTGATTCCCTTTGGTCTTAAGAGAGGGTCTACCAAATTTCAGCAAGTTACAGTTTGAGTTCTAATTACATACCTGGCACACAGTATTTTTAAGTTTGCTGGAAAAAAAAAAAAGAACTACATGTACACTAATACTCTAAAATATGACAAGTCTTTCTAAGATGTGTTTTCCAGGTATAATCACATCAATACTATGTTTCTTTTTTAAAAGGGTTAAAAAGAAATCAACAGGGAATCATTAAACAAAAGAAATAAAAGAAAGAGCCAATAGGCCAGTAATTTTTTAAATGAGAGAAATTTGTGTAGAATAGTATTTCAAAAGCGTGTAAATTCATACTCTAATTGGTTTTTCTAGTTGGAGAAAGTTTATATATCATGTAGAAGAAATACCTAATACAGTCTCTAGCTACATTGTTTCTGTTTGTAAGCCCAAATCAACTAATCAACATTTCTGGGTTAAAGTATTTTGTTACATTTAAACTGTTACTACATACCAATAAACAAATAAACAGAAATAAAAATACATGTAAGTCTCCACAAATCAAAAAACAAAAATACAGTACACAAAGATGATGATACAAGGAATCCAGAATATGCAAGTTACTTCGAAACTTTCATCCTTAGCTCTCTAGTTCATGATAAATATTAAAAACAGTATTAATCTGATTAGAAAAATAGAATTACACAAAAACACCTAAGGCTACATTAATACAGTTGACAGTATTTAAATGAAGCCTTACATTGTACTTTTATTTGTCTAGTAAGAAGAACAAATGAAAATGAATGCTACCAGAGAAACTCTAGTTCCCTCTCCCCTACAATATGTAAACACAGCTTTAAAAAAATTGAGCTACTGCAGCAACACCTTTCCTTACCATTGTTTTCCTGTGGTATTATGACTTTTCTAGTCTTTACAGTACAATAGAAAATAAATTAGAATTACATACATAATATATTATATTCATCTGCTGGAAACATAAATACTGTTGAACCCACAAATCTAAAACCAAAATCTTCCTTCCAATCTACCATCTCATAAAAAGTAAAACATATTTGAATGCTGTGGATTTTATTTAGGTGCTAGTTCATTCTCAAGCTTTAGGTGTAGTATTTTGAATAAAGGAATCCTTCACTTTTTAAAAAAATGGTTTATTAAACAAAACAATCCTCACCCATCTGACCCCCAAGACAAACAAAAACCATAAACCAAAGCATTAAAAAAGTATGCTTAAATTTAAGCAGCCTGGTAGAATTTGAAAGCTTTTCTCTACCCTCAAAACTCTCCAAGTGACATAATAACCTGAATGAAAATTAAAACATAAAAACAAAACAGTAAACACACATACCCACACACATACAAAACCCACACCAGTTCAGGTATCACAGGCAAAATTACATTTAAAAGAAAAAAAAGAGATTTCCCACAACTTCATCAAATTAAATTTTATAAAACATCATTAGGAGTTTCTATGAAATTTTCATGAAATGATTAAGAATAAAACAGCTTTGAAAAAAAGGTAATGAACATGGTTTCTGTAATTGCAATTCTTGTTATAAAGGCCCAAAATAGTATGATTTATAAACTCAGTTATTCCACTTAATGTTGTATTTACAGCCCTGCAGAGATTTATAAGTTTTAGTATCTTCTCATTTGAATATTTCCTGTCAATGCTTATTTGATCTAGTGTGAGAATACAAAGTTTCAAAATTTCTACTTTCATAGATATAAACTTCTATTAAGTTAAAAGAAAAATGTTTAGAAAGGATCAAGAGATATTTTTTATCAGTAAATTTCCCGATTTTCTTTGAAAACCACACCCAACTTTTATCAAGACACAAGTAAATGGAATGACAAGTTTGGTCATAAATAGAAATTCATTAAGGAGGCTGCCCCAAGCAATATTAAAAATCAACTTAAAACCGACCAAATAAATCCCATTTGGTACACTGTTGTATGCAATATTTTCTTCATAGTATGTTTATGAAATAATGAAATCATATATACACACTGTGCATACTCACCCGCTGTATTTTGTAAATTAAGCAACATACATTTCTTGTAAATAAAGTTTTAAGCCCTCTGCAATGGCTGAGTTAGTAAAATGTATGTATTTTAAATTGGATGTGACAAGTTTTTAAAAAATATCCAATTTTTGTTAAAAAATGTGGAAAACTCTTAAAATCAAGAATATTAAATTTTACCAAAAAAATTCTCCCGCAATCTGTATTTGAGAAATATATGTGGTTTATGATGAAAATTTTGTCAAAAGAAAAAAATCCAAATGCTTCACTCAGTTTTTAACCAATAGAGGACATGGGCACATATATAAATGTCTGGTGACTTTTGCCAGCAGAATACTATTTTACAAAAATTGCCTCCTCAATTTTTCTTTTAGTATACATTTCAGAATTACTCTAAGTTCCTTTATGAAAAAATATTAAAGACCAGCTGTTTTTTAACAACCCGTGTTAACCTTTCGTATTTCCGTGGTTCTCTAGAAATACCATTTTTCGTAAAGTCGAGTATTATCTAGTGTTTAACTTTCAAAGCCCCCAGTCTGTTTTCTTCCAGCCAGTTAGGAGATAAAAAGTACAGTGTTTTGGGAGCTCCGTTAGACACACTTTAAAAAACGGCACATTGCGCTCTCCTGTTCTCTTCGTGGAAAGATTGTGAGGGCGGGTCCCCTACTCTTTACAGAAATAAGGAATCACTCAATCCTTACAACTCCAGGGGTGGGGGAACTTTACGAAAATGACCCAGAACACAATGTAGCTGCGGTTCCCCTGCCGCGTTATTCTTCTTTGGGAACAACCAAATAGCTGTTGCAAAACTATCTCCTGCGTGTTCTCAACACAGAGCCGAGAGCCCCACACGCAAAACATCGCGCCGGCCAAGGGTTAATCTAGCGCCGCCTTCACCGCAGAAAAGGATTCCAAATCCAAAATATTTATAAAGGTTCAAGTCAATAAAGTATTAACTTAAAGCTATCACTGGCTCAAACCATACAAGTTGTCGAATAAGAATTGGTAGAAACTGGGAGCTAACAAATAAATCTATCACTAAAGTAAATGATAAATACGCCTCTTCCCTACGCCTGAGTCAAGACAGTTCCCAAGAAAAAGGTGGAGGTTGCAAAATTACCGCTCGACTGTCCGGGTAAAGACTTTTCAGGAGGAAAACATCGTTACTGGTGCACCGATTGTTTTTCTTCACGCGACATGTTTCAAAGGCTAGAGAAGAAAAGTCTTCTAAGAAAAGTGCGACTCGGGGGAAATCGCAGAGAAAGGAAACTGCAAGCTCAAAGCCTCATCTTTCATCTCACCCAAGACCCCCTCCCCCAAGAAAGGACAACAACGGAAGAGCAAATGACAAAAATTACAAGCAAAAATCTAAAGTCCAGCATCTTCCCCAGGAGTAAAACCTCAAAAGTTGCCTCCTCCCCATCTGTCCCAAATTGTTAAAGCAGTCAGTGCTACCCCAGCCCGGAACCAAGCGTTCAGAGCCAGAGTGCTGCATAATGAAACTCACATTCCCAGGGCATCTCACGTTTTAGCTTCAAGGACAATATATTGGGCTGGGTCCCGCACGACGGACGGGAAGAACCCACTGCTCCAGGTCCTCAGTTTCCGCCGACCTTAACTTTCTTGATACGAAAAGACCGCCGTCCACAGGCGGAGAAAACTGCGATAAAAGACCGCTCGGCTAGGCAATAGGAGAGGAGGTGCTCATCCTCCTGCTCCAGTCAAGGAGCCGCTGCCTGGCGTGCTCCCCGGCACCCGGTCCAGGTCCTCTGAGGTTCTGCTGACAGATCCGATGGGTGGCGGCTGCTCAGTCACAGCCCAACAGCATCCCGCTCAAACTGCTACTCCCCTCCCCCCCCCGCCCCTCTGCGCTCCCGCCAGATTCCCCCGGCAACCGCCCACTCGGAGACACCTAGTTACCTCCAACTCTATCTCCTCACATTATTCGTGATTAAAATGAGGGCGGACCCAGTGCCCATTGCCTGCACACCGCCCCCCACCACCTGCAGGTCCCACCACTGCCACCTCCCGAGTCCCGCTCTGCTACTTCAGTCTCTTACCCACTGCGCCAACCCTGGCGAAGCTCCGCGAACTGTTCTACCTTGAACGGATTTTTGGCGATTTTTTTAGTGATTTTTTGATGGTGTCCTAGTGGCGATACACTCTCGGTTACGTTATCTCATCTCCGCTGCTAAATCGATGGGATCTGGCATCACTCGAAAATGGCGCCGAAAGCGCTGAGGCTCCTCATTCAAATTCGTTATAGCCCACCCCGCCACCCCGGCGCATGCCGGGAACGCGGGAGGCCTTTAGACCAGTCAATACCGCCTCCAAACACCCTCAGCTCCAGCTTTCCGGACAATTGTACGCACGCGCCGACTCCTCCCCTAACCCCGCTTCTTGCACATGCGCAGATTATTGCTGCTTTGTGCCGTTCGCTTGCTTCTGGGGAGCAATCTGCCTACTTCGTTTCCTTGCGCGTGCGTTCAGGTCCTTCTTAACTCAGTCTCGGAGTTAGAGGGGACCGTGGGCCCGGAGGTTCATAGACTATATGCTAATCACTCGGTAGGCATTTCACATAATGTTCGAGGAAAACAGATAAAGGTGCAGCTTAAGCGAAAAGAAACGCGGCTTATTGCTAGCATTTAACAACGGAATGTGTCTTCGAGACCATCTGTATTGTATGGATACACGTGAACTTAAAACAGCCCGCCTGTGTGCAGAGCTCTCTCTATGTCAACTCTTTACAGGAGCTATCGCATTTAAGCCTCAACTTTGTGAGGTAGGTACTATTATCATTCTTAAGTAATTTACCTTAAAGGAGCACAGGTAACAAGCACGCGATGAGTATACATTTGTCAGATTATGGAGCACAGGCATTTTCTTTGCTGTGCGAGCCCGTTTGAGCACACACAGGCGTAGTTTTCTAGGCTCAAAAACCACGTCTGTGACCTCTCATGCTGTCTGCCTGCCGGGACTTGAGTACGTAAATTTGCCCGGGACCTCCCCAGTCCTGTTACGAAGGCGCTTTTATCTAACCCAGTTTCTCTTAACCATCCTACTTAAGATTCTCTCGGTTTGGGAGAGGTGAATGGATGAATGGGCAGTCTTTGGGTATCACTTATGGTGATTTTTTAAAAAAGGGTGTGCTAAGTGAACCGAATCTAGCAAAGGTGGGTTTCCGTTGTGTGACACACTGATGAGTAATACCTAGTTACCATAGGCACGGTGCTAAATAAACGATTTGTGGATTGATCCTATTTATATCTCACAACAGCCCTAAGAAGTAAGTATTATCTTTATTTTACACAAGACACCCCGACTCACATGAAGAAACTTGCCCCAAAGTCTTACAACTAGTAAATCGAAGCACAAGACCTAGGCAAATCTAACCATTGAAACCTTCAAAAATAGTGCACTATGATAGGACTAAATAAATGATGAAAAAGTCAGTATTTTAACACCTTCCTTAAAAACCTCTTTAACTGGTTCATTTGCTTGGTAGAGATATCCTATCTGCCAACAGGCTAGTTAAGATGAAAAAAAATTTAGAACTGCCATTGATTCTAAATAATTGGAGTTTAAGATTATTTTTATTGGTTACCTTTTTCCTGATTCCAAGTTATCAAGAAGTTTCTAAATAATCCAACAGTTTAAATCTGGGTTATTGCTGGTTATTGCTGTTTTTTTTTCTTCGAGTTTTTGTTGCAAAACAACTTGTGATGAACAGTAACTATTTAAGTATACTATGACATATTGTGAGGGTTAAAACAATGAATATGAAAGTGCTGGAAGTGCTAAGAAGTAAGGAAATGGGAGAAGCCCAACACAATTTGCGTTAATGAGGTACAATTGGAAAAAATGGATTTTAATAATATGAGATCAAGAAGAAATATGTCTGTATGAATAGTATGTGCGTCTAATATCTGTATTGTACTTTTGTGTAGTGGTTAAGTGAGTGAACTCTGGAATCAGTGCACCTAGGTTCGAATCTCAGCTCTGCTACTAGGTGTGACCTTACATGAGTTACTTTTTCTCACTTTGATCTTCTGTAAAAGGAGTAATGCTAGTACCTCTTTGGTGGTTGTAAGGATTAAACGAGCAAAATATTAAGGACATTGAACACTGTTTGGCATATTAGTAAATATTAGCTAATGGTCTTTAACCCTTACTTTTCAAAATAGCTTAAGAGGTGTTTTAAAAATCAAACTATATTTAGTGCCATTAGGAATTAGCATTCATATTCAAGAGTCCCTCAAATGGTAAATTAGCCTGACATGATATTTGCCAAATATGAGTAATGATTTTTGTCAGATGAATAAGGATGATAATATGTTTTACCATTTCATAAGAGTAACATGGAAATGGAATGGTGTTCTTTTTCTAATTATTAAAATTAAAGAAAATAATCAGGCCAGTCTAAAATATATAAAGTAAAAACCATCCAAATTTCTATCATCCAGAGAGAATTACATATCCTTTTGTATTTTAAATATATAATGTACCTGTGAGGGGAATGAGCTAGGGGAAGTCTCAATAAATGATATATTTGGGGAACTTATTTGTAAGATTGTATTGAACTTCATGAATTGGTAAATTTTTGACCTAGCTCCCTTTTGGTATAATTTTTCAAGAAAATGACTATAAAATTGATGATGTTGTTGATAAATAATAACATTGAAGAACAACTCTATGTCAGGTACTGTGTTAAGTATGTCTGTGCTAAGTATGTATGCATTTTCCCCTTGAATCCTCGTGAGAACACATGAGGTGTATGCAATAATTATCATGTTTTGTAGAGACTAATGTTTCTACCAAGGTTACTTTTAGATTTAAGTCCTGTTTTGTTTCAAATCTTATGTAATAAACCCAAAATCTTTCATTAAACCTTTTTGACTCACTAAAATGGAAGAAAACAAAACCAAGTAACATGGTTCCTATGCCTGAACAAAAAACTATTTTTGTCCAATTGGAAAAACTAGTATTTTGCAAATGAAAAACTTCATTGACCACAAGGGGGTGCAAATTCCCGAGCTGAATTTTAAAGTAAAAAAGGGTTTTTACTTCAGACCATCAAATTCACAGATAAAACAGTAGTAAGAATACCATCCTCAAATTTTAATACTCCACAAAGTGATGTACATTATGAAAAGAAAGAACTCAATTATTTAGGAACTAATTTAGAGCAGGTTTCAACTTTCATCTTGAATACAGTGAAGAGTTAATCATCCCTTCTCTACTTTTTCACCCACAGAGTTTGTGTCTCTGTGTACTCTTGTCATAAGAGTAGAGCTGAAGTCATAATTTAAAGTCTGAGGTTTTATCCGGAAACTGGAATGCAGTAACTAGTTAACAAATAGTAAGAAGGATAGTGTGAAGAACAGAGGTCTTATACTTTCGATGCTTGTTTTATCCTTTCTACTAATGAGTAACCTACAACTGATGGGATGTTGGCTTCAACATATTAACTTAATTAGATAAAATTATGAAAGCTATAGATCTGTTCCTCTCCTAAGAAAAGAACGAAGACTCAAAGAAAACCTTTTGAACAATAACTTGAAAACTTAATTGTTTTTTAACTTACCTACATAGGTACCTTTTATTTTCCTGATATTCTTATTTCTCCAACTTAATTTTCTTAAAAAAAACTTTATTTGGAAATGATTTCAAACTTACAAAAGTGGGAAAAATAGTTCAGAGAACACCCATATCATTTGCTTTCTCTTATGCAGTGTCTCTCTCTGTCTTTTCATAGTTAGGTATATTATGTACAATTTATTTTCTGAACCATTTGAGTTGAAGTTAACATATATCCTTCACTCCTAAATACTTGAGGGTATATTTCTTACAAACTATAAATTGACATTGAAATAATACTGTAATTTACTATCATATTCCAGTTTTGTAGGTTGATCCTTGTAGCATATCCATCTGCGGGACAGATTCAGTCACAGGGGTGTCCAACCATTTGGCATCTTTGGGCCACACTGGGAGAGGTGTCTTGCTCCACACATTAAATACACAAACACTAACAAAAACTGATGGAAAAAAAAAGGGTTTTAAGTATATTTAGGATTTTGTGTTGGACAACATTCATAGCCATCCTGGGTCGCATATGGCCCACAGATGACAGGTTGAATACCCCTGGTAGGGTCAGGTGCTATACATTTAGTTGTCCTGACTCTTTAGCATACTTTATTTTGGAACATTTTCATATCCTTTTTAAAAATAGCTTTTTAAAAAAATCATTAATTATCTCAACATTTTTGAAAAATGCAGCTTGTCTCCCCACACTCATTTTTAATAGAATATTTCTTATTTTGTCGTTGTCTGATGTTTTCATATGATTAGACTGAGGTTATACATTTCAGCTGGATCGTTGCACAGGTGATATGTGTTCTACTCAGGCTATCACTTCTGGAAGCATGTGAAATCCATCTGTCCCTCATTGATGATGTTAATTTTGATCACCTGGTCCATATGTGGCTTGAATTTTCCACTGTATACTTATTTTCTTCCTGGCAATTAATAAGCATTTTTTGTATGTGTGTTTCCTGCACAAAGAGAAAGATCTTTGGTTATTCTGTTCAGGGCACATGCCTGGGTTGCAGACCTGGTCCCTGGTGGGGCATATGTAAGAGGCACCCAATTGACATTTCTCTCACACATCAATGTTTCTCTCTCTCTCTCTTATCCCTACCTTCTCCACTATCTAAAAATAAATTAAATCTTTTAAAAATTTCTGTTTAAATTTAGCATCCATTATTGTTGATATAATTTTACCATCATGGTTACAAAACAATCCAGCCAATCTGGTACTCCCTCCACATTTACCAGTTGGTCCACAACATACTACTGCAAACAGCCTTATGTATGTATGTATGTATGTATGTATGTATGTATGTATTTATTATCTGTATTAACTTATGAATTCTTATTTTTCCATTTCTGTATTTTACTTTTATGTGTGCTTTAATCTGTATATTTATATATTTTATTCATTTTTTTGAACCACTGGAAGGTAAGGTATGTACATAATGAACTTTCATTTCTAAATATTTAATTATTTTGGTGTTGAAACTGTCCCAGATTTAGCTAATGGCTCCTATGTCCTTGTGACATGCCTACATCTTTTTCTTTTTTTTAAGCACTTCCTAACTTTTTGGTATAATAAGATGTTCCATGTTTATCTTATTCTTACCTGCACCACCCTAGAATTAGCCTTGTCTATAAAGAGCCCTGTTGGTGGAGAATGGTATTAGAGACCAAGGCTAGGTATACTCATTGATACTTCAGTCTCTTCTTCTTGGACCCTTAAGAGGCAGATTAGGAAATTTATGTGTGTGTTGTGTATGCACATACACACATACCTACATATACACATACTGAATTTGTTTATGACATGGGTTTAATTTTAAATTATTTTTATTATAATTGAGATATCATAGCAACCTTTATAAATTTCTGAATAAAGGCAGTGAAATCATAGTCCACACAAACAACTCATACATTTTCATGTTTGTTTTAGTTCATGTCTGTACATCTAACTTCATAGGGTTTTAGTGTGAAACTTTCTTTGTTTTTTTCAACTTAACATGTCATAAGAGTCTGAGTTACTACATCATTTTAAACAACATTCAAAATTTCTGGGCTACATATTACGTATTATTTAGCTGATCCTACCATTCACCTGTTACTGGCACTTAGATTATTTCCAGTATTTTGCTATTGGAAAAAGAGTTCTGAACAGAACACTTTGTGCATACTTTTCCTAATTCACTTTCTCATTTATTTGCTTACTTATTGGAAGATTTCCCAAATGTGGAAATAGCAGCTCCCAAAATGTAGGTATGTTTTGAAGAGTTTGATGTGTACTGGCACACAGATTTAATCAAACACTTACCCTGCCAGAATTGGACAGAGATGAAAAGGGTGTAGTTTCTGTTAGCAGTGATCTGAAAGTCTAATAGAAGAAACATGAACTTTAAAAAAAAATGTAATTTGGACCTGGCTGGTGTGGCTCAGTGGATTGAGTGCTGGACTGCGAACCAAAGGGTGGCTTCTTTGGTTCCCAGTCAGGGCACATGAATGGGTTGCAGACCAGGTCCCCAGTGGAGGGCACGTGAGAAGCAACTATACATTGGTGTTTCTCTCCCTCTGTATCTCCCTCCCTTCCTCCTTCTAAAAATAAATAAATAAATAAAATCTTTTTAAAAAATTGTAAAATTGTAGTTTGATGAATATAAAGGAATAGCGTTTAACCCAGGTTAGTAGTAAGTGGCTCAGGGAAACTTTTCAGGAGGAAGTTATAGTTGAGCTGTGACTTGAAGGACAGCTTGATAGAGTTTTCTTGAAGGATACTTTAGTGGAGCCTTGAAGGACTGGACTATTACCAGTGTAAAAGAGAGGGCAGAAATAGGCCATAGAAAGCACTTAAAGCAGAATCACTGGAGTGTAAAAAAACAAGAAGGTTCAAGAAATTCAGGTAGTTAGTGTAATTTGTTGCCTAGTACCTTTGCAGGTGAAAAAGGTTAGCCTGATCAAGAGGATAGAGGTTAAACCATGAAGGGCCTTGCATGTCACCCTTATTTTGATACAATTGAAAAATCTTTAACCAGTGAGTAATGTGATAAGGTTTATATTTTAGAAATTACTTTAACATGGGTACTGGAGGACAGGTTGGTGTTGAAAGACAAATACCATATGATCTCACCTTTAACAGGAAGCTAAACAACAAAACAAACAAGCAAGCAGAAAAAAAAAACCCACAAAGACACTGAAATAGAGAACAAGGGGACAGCGACCAGAGGGGAGAGGGAAGGGAAGTTAAGGGGAAATGGGGAGGGATTTGGAGGAACAAATAGGAAGGACACAGGGACGAGAACTAAGGGGGGTGGAAATGGGAGGGAGGTGGGGAGCAAGGGGCGGGGAGGCTGGGATGGGAGAAATAGACAAAAAAACTGTACTTGAAAAATAACTAAATAAAATTTTTTAAAAATACTAAAAACATGAAGAACAATGCCCCCTTCACATTAATGGCATGAATAAGTAAAGGCTAGTGTCAATGTACATTAAAATAGCCTTTTTGGAAAGTAATTTAGTGATATATAAAATAGGGTTGTAAAGGTATTCATATCACAATTGGGATTTCTGGCCAAGATGGAGGCATAGGTAGATACACTGTGCCTCGCACAACCAAAAGAAAGACAACAACAAATTTAAAAGCAAAAAACAACCAGAACTAATAGAAAATCGAACTATATGGAAGTCTGACAACCAAGGAGTTAAAGAAGAAACATTCATCCAGACTAGAGGAGCAGAGACAGGCTGCCAGGAGTTGGCTGGAGGACCAGGGAGGGCAAAGCTGTGGCTGGTGGGCAAGGAGGTGGATGGCGGATTTGGCAAGGTGGAAGATTGCAGACTGGGCAGTCCCATGTTCATGTGCAGATAAACTAGGAGAAACAACTGAGGAGTGAGACAGACTGAGCAACCCAAGTTCCAGCTCAGATAAATAAAACTCAAACCTCTGATTAAAAACACCTGTGGGGGTTCCTCTTCTCCTTCTGGTACCCCTACAAGTCAGATGTTGGATCATCTCAAGATGTCCTGGAGGTTCCTAAGCCTCTCCTTATTTTTTTGTATTCTTGCTTCATTCTGTTCTGGTTGAATGCTTATTTCTTCTTTCTGGTCTACACTGTTAATTTGAGTCCCAGTTTCCTTCTCAACACTATTGGTTTCCTGTACATTTTCCTTTATTTCATTTAGCATAGCCTTCATTTTTTCATCTAATTTGCGACCATATTCAACCAACTCTGTGAGCATTACCAGTGTTTTGAACAATGCATCTGATAGGATGGCTATCTTTTCATTGCTTAGTTGTGTTTTTTCTGGAGTTTTGATATGATTTTTCATTTGGGTCATTCTTTTTATCTTGGTGTGCCTGTTACACAATTAAGGGTAGGAGCCTTAGGTGTTCACCATGGCGAGGCAACCCAGTCACTGAGTTGTGATGCTGTATGTGGGGGAGGTGTTTGAGAAGGAACAAAGATGCTTGCTCTGTTCTGTACTGGTTTTCAGTCACTTCCTCAGCTACCCACAGTCAAACTGGGCCCTTCTGGCGCTGATTCCCAGATCGGTGGGCTTGTGTACATTCTAGGACTCTGTTGGTCTCTCCAATAAACTTTCCTGTGAGGCTGAGAGTTTCTCCCACTGCCTCCTCAACCCCAAGACAAAAAGAATGACCCAAATGAAAAATCATATCAAAGCTCCAGAAAAAACACAACTAAGCAATGAAAAGATAGCCATCCTATCAGATGCATTGTTCAAAACACTGGTAATGCTCACAGAGTTGGTTGAATATGGTCGCAAATTAGATGAAAAAATGAAGGCTATGCTAAATGAAATAAAGGAAAATGTACAGGGAACCAATAGTGTTGAGAAGGAAACTGGGACTCAAATTAACAGTGTAGACCAGAAAGAAGAAATAAGCATTCAACCAGAACAGAATGAAGCAAGAATACAAAAAAATAAGGAGAGGCTTAGGAACCTCCAGGACATCTTGAGATGATCCAACATCTGACTTGTAGGAGTACCAGAAGGAAAAGAGGAAGAAATTGAAAACTTGTTTGACCAAATAATGAAAGAGAAGTTCCCCAATCTGGCAAAGGAAGTAGATTTCCAGGAAGCTCAGAGGGTCCCAAAGAAGTTGGACCCAAGAAGGAACACACCAAGGCACATCATAATTACATTAGCCAATATTAAAATGAAGGAGAGAATCTTAAAAGTAGCAAGAGAAAAGGAGACAGTTACCTACAAAGGAGTGCCCATAAGACTATCAGTTGATTTCTCAAAAGAAATCTTGCAGGTAAGAAGGGGCTGGAAGGAAGTATTTGAAGTCATGTAAAGCAAGGACCTACATCCAAGATTCCTCTATCCAGCAAAGCTATCATTTAGAATGGAAGGGCAGATAAAGTGCTTCCCAGAAAAGATCAAGTTAAAGGAGTTCATCATCACCAAACCCTTATTATATAAAACATTTAAGGGACTTATCTAAAAAAAAAAAAAGAAGAAATATGAACAGTAAAAGGACAACAAACTCACAGTTATTAACAACCGAACCTAAAACAAAAATGAACTAAGCAAACAACTAAAACAGAAACAGAATCACAGAAATGGAGACCACATGGAGGGTTATCAGTGGGGTAGTGGAAGGGAGAGAAAGGGTGAAAAGGTACAGAGAACAAGTAGCATAAATAGTAGGTACAAAGTAGACAAGGGGAGGTTAAGAATAGTATAGGAAATGTAGGAACCAAAGAATTTATACATATGACCCATGGGCATGAACTGAAGGAGGGGAATGTGGGTGGGAAGGGGTGAGCAGGGTAGAGGGGAATGGGGGGGGGAATGGGACAACTAACAACTGTAATAGCATAATCAATAAAATATATTTTTTAAAATACAGTTAGTTCCCAGTTCCCTGTTGTCCATGAGGGGAAAAACATGTCATGCTTTTTATTCAAGAGAAACATTTCCTTGTTTTTGAACTGAAAGAAATGTTTTAGTTGGGTTTCATGTAGAGATAACAATATATTGTTGACAGAATATATGATAATAGTAAGTAAGAGTACTTGATAATAATAACAATTGTAGTCCCACCTCCCAAAAAAAGATATTTATGTATTTTCTGCCAGGAACTCTAATTTCAGGAATCTAGTCTAGGTGAAATAAATCCAGAATATAGGGAAAAAATCTATACAAGATTCTCATTCAAGATTAAATACAATGGTAAAAAAGTGGGGATAGAAGAATCAAATATCTAAGAGGAAGATTATTATTATTTTAAATATTTTATTTAGGAGGGAGAGAAACATTGATGTGGCATTGATCCATTGCCTCTCATACACACACTGACCAGAATGAGCTGTCAGCCTTTTTCTTTGCAGGATGACGACATCAAACCAACTGAGCCACACTGGTCAGGTCAGGAGATGATGAAGTAAATTGTGGAATATCTACTGCACTTACTATTAGCACCATCACAAAGTGATGCATACAAATATGGAAAAATGTTTATAAATGCAACAGGTAAAGAAGTGTAAGCATGATTACAACTACTTCTAAAAACACAGAGAGTAAAATATACTTAAGCCAAAACTCTCAAGTCATATTAATGTTTTCTAATCAAAGCTAAAAATATACAGTTAAAAGGCCAATCTAAAATTTGGAATTGTTGATACCACCAAACTATGCTTCTAAGGAATACTGCTATTCTATGAACTAGTCCAGTGATTCTGAAACTTTGAAAATTTGTTGAAAGTTATAAATCCATTCTCTAGAATCATGCACACAGGTGAACAGTTTGCATAATTTCAGAGATAGATGATGGTTGATAGAATTCCTGAAGAAAAACAGAAAAAAACTGTTCATATATAGTAGAGGAATATTGGTCCTCCCAAAGATGTCCATGTCCCAGGATCTATGAATATGTTATGTTACATGGTAAAGCTTGCAGATAAAATTAAGGTTTCTATTCAGATGACTAAAAATAGATTATCCCAGATCACCTGAGCAGGCTGATTATAATTATAAGGTTCTTCTAAATGTGGAAGAGGGAAACGGAAGAGTCATTTGAGTGCTAGATATGAGAAAGACTCAATCACCTATTGCTAGCTTTGAAGGTAGAAGCAGACCATGAGCCAACAAATGAGGGCAGCTTATAGAAGCTGAAGAAGGCAAGAAAAAACATTCTCCCCAAGAGCCTCCAGAAAGGAATGCAGCTCTTCCTATACTTTGGTTTTAGCCCACAAAAACCCAGTTTAGAATTCTAACCTTCAGATTGGTAAGATGATAAATTTCTGTTGTTTCAGGGTTAGGGTGGATATTTTTTACAGTAGCAATATAAAACTAATATGCACATAAACAGCCTTTTGTTTGTGTATTGATGTGTGGCTGAGGTAGTGAATATGCGTACATACATATATAGAGATATATTTCTTGGTTTTGAAAGATTCCTAATAGCTGAGACTAAGTCTGTTCTTGTTTTCTGTCTTTAGCACAGTTAACTGGCATTGAAAAATATTTGATGGGAATCAATGAATAAACAGAGAGAGAGAGGATCACCTGTTGCTCTGTGACCTGAACAAATTTGAGAATCACTTGTATGTATGCTTTTTTTCCTCAAAGATTTTAATTATTTATTTTAAGAGAGAGGGGAAGGGAAGGAGAAAGAGAGGGAGAGAAATATCAATGTGTGGTTGCCTCTCATGTGCTCCCTTATGGGGACCTGGCCCAAAACCCAGGCAATGTGACCTGACTGGGAATTGAACAAGCAACCCTTTGGTTCTCAGCCCACACTCAATCTACTGAGCTACGCCAGCTAGGGCCAGTTGTATGTATTCTTGTAATGTCCAGGTTAAAATTGTAAAGTGTATAAAATGATAAATGTTATATATTGAATATGAAGGCTATTTTATAATTGAAATAAATGGATATTAACTGAGTATCTAATACAAATAAGGTATTTTTAAGACTGTTTTGTACTTGTTTATTATCATATATTTGAAATGAAATATTGTGCTACAAATAGTTATGCTTAGGATTTTTACCTTTCAGAAATAACTACTCAACTAGAAATAAAATAATAAAGATGAAAAGGACAAGGCTTAATAATAGATGGTTTAAAAATATTTCCAGTCTGTGTCCTATAGCATAGCTATTGTTTTAATCCTCACCTGAGGAAATGTTTATTGATTTTTAGAGGGAGAGAAAGGGAGAAAGAGAAGGAGGGAGAAAGAGTGAGAAAGAAAATCAGTGTGAGTAACAAACATCAATCAGTTGCTTCCTATATGAGGGGACCACCCCCCAAAAGCAGTTTATTGATAAAAATTGTTCATTTATTTTTACATGTTTAAACTTCAGTCACCTTCAAAGTATTTTCCATTTGATGGAATACACTTATCAAGACTGTTTTCCCACTGCTCAAAACAGTTTTTGAACTTATCAGTTTTGATGCCTTTTAGTGCTTCTGCTATTTTTTGTTTCACCTCTTCCACATTGGCAACATGTTTCCCTTTGAGGACTTTTTCGATCCAATGAAAGTCATTTGAGGTGAGATCTGGTGATGCTGAACACTCAGTGTGATGCGCACAGGTATGCTTCTAATGGGTTGGCCAAAAAGTTTGTTTATGGCTCTAATAGTGCTTAGTTGTCTTTAACTTCAGCCAACGATTTTGCTAGATTATATATTATGATGTTGTTATATCAGTGTGTATTTAAAAAACATCAAAATTGGTGAATTTTTGTATAGCCATTTTAGTATTGAAGATGGAAGAAAATCTGCAACATTTTGAGGATATTATGCTTTATTTTTCAAGAAGAGTAAAATTGCAACTGAAACACAAAAAAAGATTTGTACAGTGTATGGAGAAGATTCTGTGACTGTTTGAATGTGTCAAAAGTGGTTTGTGAAGATTTCTAGCTGGACAATGCTTCTTGATTGGGTAGACCAGTTGAATTTGATAGTCATCAAATCAAGACACTACTTGAGAACGGTCAATATTTTACCACACCAGAGATAGCCAACATACGAAAAATACCAAATCAATAAAGTTATTAGCGAAAATTAAAATCATGTCTTTTATTTTACAGAAAATACTAAGTGGACTTTTTGGCCAACCCAATAAATCACCCATGGTGAAATAGGCAAACACATTTAGTCTTTAAAAAAAATTTCACTGAACATGGACTTAACCAGATTTACTCCTTTTGAGCTCAAGCACCAGGGTAGCAGCTTGAAAGGCACCAGTGACATATACAAAGGAACTGAAGTGTCTGGCATCAAGGCAAGAGCTGGAGGACAGCTTTCTGCCATATAGAAAGGTAGAGAGAGGACATTGTTCCTTTTCTGAACCCTGCTCCCACAGAGCAACACAGCCAGCAGGCAGGTGTCATATCTGAGATTCCATTAATCTGCCCAACTGTTTGCCCTGCTCTGGATATCCCCTGAGACTCCATTCCATCCACCTTATAAGCCCAAACTATCTGTTAACAGTGGCTTTTCCATATGAATGACTGGTCTTGGCTCATGCTTCATAACCACCTAAATCTTCTCAAACAAGCAATAGCCAGCCTCAGAGAGCCTCCAGCCTCCATACCTTTCGCTAAGTGGCCATGGGGCCAGAACTAACAATAGCTGGCCTAGCTTCACAGCTTGGCTTTATCTGGGATCCTCCAGGCTCAGCATAAGAAGCAGCCATCTCAGATTGCTCAAGCAGGCTAGCCCCTGGCAGAGCACAGGTGGGGGCTGACATTGGCCTGCATTGCCTGTAAAACCCCAGTGCCTGTGCAACCAGTGGACAGCTACAGACCCCATTGTAACACCACCACCCTGCCTTTGCACAGCCGATTCTCCATGGAGAGTGGAGGATGATGGTCAGTGGTCACAGCCAATCCTTGCAGCTGACTGGACTAGGTAAATTCCTCCCACTGATCTGCCAAAAGCAACTTTGCAGCTGAGTCAGAACTTGCAAGAAGAGCGTGTACTTAACCCACATGAAGGGTACATCTCGGAATAACCAGTTTGGGTGATAAGGGAGGCTGTGCCACTGGACCCTGCAGAACACCTGCTACATTAGGCCATGCTACCAAGACTGGGACTCATGGCAGCAATACCTAATACATAGCAACAAACACAGGGAGGCTGCCAAAATGAGGAGACCAAGAAACATGGCTGAAATGAACAGATCAAAACTCCAGGAAAAGTACTAAACACAATGGAGATAAGCAATCTATCAGGTGCAGAGTTCAAAGTACTAGTGATAATGATAATCAAAGAACTTAGTGAGGACCTTAACAGCATAGAAAAGATCTAGTCAGAAACAAAGGATAGAAATAAAGAAAAATTTACAGGGAAACAATGATAGATGGATGAAGCTGAAAAACAAATCAGTTATTTGGAACATAAGCAAAAACAACCAACCACAACAAGAGGACAAAAAAAAAAAAAGATCCAAAAGAGTGATCATAGTATAAGCAAGCCTCTGGGACAACCTCAGGCATTCTAACATTCACAGTGTAGACGTGCCAGAAGAAGCAGAGCAAGAAATTGGAAACTATTTGAAAATAAATGAAAAAAGAATTCCCCAATTTGGTGAAAGAAATAGACATGCAAGTCCAGGAAGCACAGAGAGTCCCAAACAAGATGGATGCAAAGAGGCCCACTCCAAGACACATTATAATTAAAATACCAAAGGTCAGAGATAAAGAGAAAATCTTAAAAGCAGCAAGAGAAAAGCAGTTATTTATAGGCAAGTTCTCATAAGACTGACTGATTTCTCAAAGGAAACTTTGCAGGCTAGAAGAAATTGTCAAAAAACATTCAAAATCATGAAAAGTGGGAACCTATAGCCTAGATTGCTCTACCCAGCAAAACTGTCACTCAGAATCAAAGGGCAGATGAAGAGCTTCCCAGACAAAAAAGTAAAGAAATTCATCATCACCAAGCCCTTATTATATGAAATATTAATGGGACTTTTTAAAGAAAAAAAGATCAAAGTTGTGAACAATAAAGTGTCAATAAATATCTATCAACAATTGAATAAAAAAAAACTAAGAAGAACAGAGACAGAATCATGGATAAGGAGAGCAGTTTGATGGTTGCCAGATGGAAGGGAGTGTGAGGGATTGGCTGGAGAGGTGAGGAGATTAAGAGGTACAAATAGGTAGTTACCAAATAATCATGGGAACCTAGGAAATGACATACATGTCCAAAGAACTTACACACATGACCCATGGACATGAACCATGGTGTGGGGATAGCCTAAGAGTATAGGGTATGCTGGTTGGAGTGGGGGAAAGGGAAATTGTGACAGCTGTAATAGCATAATCAATAAAATGCAATTAAAAAGTTCATGAAGCTAGGAGTTCCGGCCAAGATGAAGGAATAAGTAGAAACCCTTCGCTTCCTCCCACAACTAAAAGGAGAATAACAACCAATCTAAAAACAATAAACAGAAGTGCCAGAAAATCAAAGTGCATGGAACACTGACAACCAAATAGTTACAGAAACATTTACCTGACTTGTAGGAGGGATGGAGACAGGCAGTCAGGTGGGTGGAGAGGACCCATGCAAGGTGGTGGAGGAGGCAGGGCTGGCTGAGTGAACCTGTAGCAAGGCCCACAGGCGAGGCGAGGCTGGCTGAACAAGAAACTAAGGACTCAAACTGGCTGTCAACTACCACGGGGGTTGCCAGGGCAGGAGAAACTCCCAGACTCACATGACAGAGTTCATTGGAAAGTGGGGCTAGAGCAGAACAAACAAGTGCATTGTTCCCTCTCTGACCCCATGCCCAAAGACAGCACCACTATGCAGCAAAGAGTACTGCTTTGCCCCAGTAAATACCCAAGGCTCCACCCCTCTACAGCATAACAGGTGCACTAAGACAAAGAAACGTGGCCCAAATGAAAGAACAGATCAAAACTTCAGGAAAAGAGCCAACGAGGAGATAGCCAATGGCTTTGTCAGCAAATTCTACCAGTTGTTTAAGGCAGAAATGATTTTAATTTTATATAAGTTGTTCCAGAGAATAAAACAAAAGGGGCTCACTCCTTGTTTTATGAAGCCAACAGCAAAGGAAAAGTATGGAACAAAAATATGAGAACAGAAGGAAGTGAACACAATTAATGTCAGAATAGTGGTTACCTTTGGCCAAGGGGGAAGAAGTAATTGGTGAAGGGCAGTGAGCTGGGCCTCTGGGGGCTGACAACTGTTTCTAGACCTCAGTGGTAGTTTCTACTCATTTGCTTTGTATCATTAAGATGCACATTTCTGTTTTTTACACTTTGCTATATATATAATTCATAATTAAAATGATCAATCTTTTAAAAATTTCATGAAGCTGAATACAACCTCTTACAACAGTACCCATTGGTACACTGATACAGATGGTCTCCTAGAGCAGTTGCCTAACAGGGAAACCTGGTATAACAAGGGGCCCACTCTCCAGAAGATAATTTCAGGTTTTTGGGGGGTCTTGCATCTATGTGTCCCAACCAGGGATCGAACCCAGTACTTAGGTTTGTGCCTTGACCAAGGATCAAATCCACAACTTTTTTGTGTACAGAACAACACTCCAGCAAAGGAATCTCATGGCCGAGACCT